ATTTTGAACTTATAGAATTATTGTCTGCCGCCGTCTTCATATTTAAGTTCGGCTATTATTTTTATGGCTCTTCGTTTTGGAGTTGACTGGTCTTATATAAAAAAATATATGTATATATGTGTATTCTTTTACATAATATATTTCGCATGACAATCCCATGACCATTTTAAATATACTCCTGAAAATGTTATTAAGTAAGGATTTTTAATATCTTGTTTAAATATTTTTTGGCCTTTAATATGGATCATCAATTATTATAAGACTGCGGTCAATGAGTCTTGTACCATTGTCAATTTGAATTGATAAACAAAGGTAAATTGTTGACATAAATTAAGAGAAGAGCCGGTTAAAAAACTGATCCTTGTGGTACTGCTCAATTAACACCGGTTAATGTTGATGTATTATTATTATGGATGACTATGTGCTATGAAACCATAACAAAACAGTTTATCATAGAATTGAATAAGATACACAGTCAAATGCTGTTAATTATGGTAATGCGTGTACAAAAACTCATTCCTGTAGTTCAAGCGGTTCGTAAGATATTGGCAAAAAATTAAAAAAAAAAATAAAATTTTGACACGGTGTATCTCGAAAACGAAAGCCCGGAGAGAAAAATAGAAGAGGAGAAGAATGTTTCTTTTTTCAAGAGGAATTTACAGTTTTCCGTTGCGATACTTATTTAGGAACACCCTGTATATAAAATTACTTGTCCGATTTAAATGAAATTTGCTATGTGCTAGAACTTTTGCAAAACGAATAGCAGTGGCAGGAATAATTGCATTTACAGAAACTACTTTTAAGCAACATGCTACTTTTTTGCAAGTGAACTTGCTATTTTACTTTTTAACTTATTATTATGATAAGGGTATTTAAGAAATTTTTTCTCGTATAAAAAATTCAGTTACTTTGTTTTAGAATTCTAAATTTTGAGGAAATCGAATTAATTCTCCGAAAGAAAGTTAATTTAAATTCAAAAATTAAAGATTTTGTAAAGTTTATACTATAGGATTACTCTAGAAACAATGAATTCCACACATACACATTTAATTGTTTAAATATCCATAGCATAAATTCGCTTGTACTACACTGCATTTCAACATGGACATTTTTTCTTCGACCCACTTCAAACGTCAAATAGTCTGGTATTAATAAACTTAATAATAATATTACTTCTCTATCATTAAAATAAACCGATAATGAAATGTACCTAATCCTGCAATTGCTACCAACAATATCATTTTAGTAGCTAATTAGCTAATTACTTACTATTAAATTACGTGAAAACGCAATAGATTTATGTAGGAAGACTTTCGTAATATCATCAAAATTTATTAGAGACATAAAACAATCAGGATTCCTTTATAGGAGGGTATAAATTGTAAAATCAATAGTCTTGAGTACAATATAATCAGTTATAATATGCTGAACAATAAAATAGAAATTTTAAGTGTCTGTTAAGTAGTAACTATGATGAACTGAACTAGTTGTATCTGTAGTAAGGAATTAGATAAAATAAATTATATGAACAGTTGAATTTTTACAGTAATCCTTCCTACTGCAAATATAAACAGAAAAGTTACTGGAATTTTACATCTGTCTAAAAATTGAGCCCACAGTTCATTTATTCAGCAGTTTAGTATTAAAAAAAATAATAATATTAACGCTTTATCATTAAAATTCACCGTTAATTAAACCATAGTTAGCAACACAATTTTAATTGACTTCAAATAATAAATATTTTTATTATAAATTTACAGTTACAATATATTAATTAATTAATTAATAAAACAAAATAATTGTTATAGGTCAGTCAAAATGTATGAGAGGATTTTGAAATCCGGCGAGCAACAGGCAATCATTTTTTATTTTTTGCTCGAAAACGGCCGCAAATACGAAAAAATTGCAAGAGACAAAAAGTTTCTAATTAACTAAGTAACAGGGGGTCAAAACCATTGGTCTAGAAAATACCAGTGGCGTACCGGTAGAAAGTTTGGGGGGCTGAAAGGAGACCTAACCCTAGAAAAAGTATCACCCTGTAGATCGTAACAACTATTGGGCACAGCTAATGATGCAAGTAATCTAAGTTAGCTTACGTTCTAAATTTGAGCTTCATATCTCAAAAACTGTGGGAGACACGAAAAAAAACGGGAAAATTGTATTGAACTTTTAACATTCTATACTATATGAAGTTTTTTACATAAAATCATGAGCAGATTCACCCCCTCCGCCCTGTATAAAGGCATACTATTATGAAACATCCTGTATTATTTTATAGCCAAGTTTGATTTATTAGACAAAATATATTATTTTCTTACTGAAATAACTATTAAAATAGTAAAAAAATTGTTTTTGGTACTCTACCTGCTGTCAAACTCGTCAAAATTTCGTTGCGAGCCAGGAACAATTTCTGCACAATTTACATAATTTCCATTCATGCATATTATTACATGATTTACTTTTACTTTTATTTTAAAAATAACTTTATGCCATAACACTTTGATGTATACAAGAATATTTCGTACTGTATTCTAAAATTCTAAAATTCGTTTCTGAGATACAAGTTATTGAAAATTTAAATCACAAATGGTATACTGAATTTTGTTATACGAGCAGGGAAAGTTGTAACTTCAAAACTCTTAACACTTAAGACATTATTACTCTTGCTTTTAAAAGGAAACATCAACATTTCGGAATTACTTATCCTGATGGTTCAGATTATCAAATCTTTTGCGTATTCCGCTGTTTTACAAACAACGATTTAGTTTTCTCAATGATGCAAGCTTAGCTAGAGACGAATATGTTGTTTCCATATGATTTAAAGAGAAATAAGCACCCCACTAGTTTTTCCAAGTTTTTCGTTTATAATTCTCCTTCAGTAGATACTTGGACGAAAGATGTTTCTTCATATTTTGTCATTTAAGAGTTATCTTAAATGACAAATTATGAAGAACTACTAATTTGTTTCAGTATTTTAATAGTATTACTAATTTGTTTCAGTATTTTAATAGTATTTCAAAACGCCAATGAAGTTCTTTCCATAACCTATTTCTTATTGAAAATTAAAAATTAATTTTTTTCCATGTTTTTTTATAGTTAACGAGATTGGTTACAAGAAATAATATGTACATACAGATTTACAACATATCGGTTGATGAAATATATCTATAACATACTAATAAAAACTTTTAAAACTGTTAACGAACACAGCCACACAAAAAAATTGTCTGTACTTTTCATGCGACATATGTTATTCGTAGTATTTTTGCCTCCAGATCACGTATCTGGTGTCAGAATTCACAATATCACATCACAGGAATTTCCTAACCTTAAAAAACATGTCAAAAATAGCAAAAATTCACGAAAAAGTGCTAGGAAAAATACATTATTTTTTCTATAACGCTCATTTATATTATTAAGACCCCGCCGAACGTGTATCCGCGGTCAGAATTGGTGGTTCTTTTTCTAACCTCAAAAAAAACGGGTCAATTAAGGTCAGATAGATATCACGAATTTTAAAAAAATAACAGATTCGCGCCAAATTTGGGATACGGGGTTTTCGGATCGCTGATCACGAAATTCGAGGCCAATTTTGCAAAATTCGAGATGGCAGATCCAAGATGGAAGACCAAATTTTCAAAAAATAACACATTCGCGCCAAATTTGGTATACGGAGGTATTCGGGGTCATTGATCACGAATCCGAGAACAGATTTACAAAATTCGTTTTTAAAAATTTAATCAGTTACCTATGTAGGTACTCTATTACCTGAAATTAAGCAGAAAAAAAAAGAAGAACATATAGTCGAAAAAAAGAAGGTTAAAATATGATTGATCATACGAAACCGGTAATAACGGCAGTTACAGTGAACAGCTCTGTATACCAAATTTAGCGCGAATGCGTTATTTTTTGGAAATGGTAGGCCATCTTGGATCCGCCATGTTGAATTTTGCAAAATTGACCTCGAATCCGTGATCGGCGACCCCGAAAACCCCTGTATACCAAATTTAGCGCGAATCTATTGTTGTTTGAAAATTCGTGATTCGTTACCTTAATTGTTTCAGTTTTTTTGAGGTTAGATTCACGTTCGGTGGCGTCTTAACCATATAAATGAGTATTTGAATATAGTAAAACAAATTTTTTGAATTTTTTTCCAAACACCTTTTCGTAAATTTTTGTTATTTTTGACCTGTTTTTTGAGAAGGCAAAAATACTACTGATAACATTAATGTCGTATGAAAAGTACAGACAAGTTTTTTTGTGTGTGGCTGTGGAATTAACAACACTTCTTTCAAACACAAAAAGAAATATTAAAACATAATTTCTTTTAAAAGTTGTTTAGTAATAAATTGTGGATTTCAAAAATACAAATACTGAAGAAATATTATTATACCGACTTATCTATTGAATATCAGAGTTATTTGTATTGCAGAATGTATCATTTTGTAAAACAGCAACTCGTAACAGCGATTTATTAGTTATTAATCAATAATTTGAGATTTTGTGAAACCTATATACATATTTTAATAATTTCGTACTAATTAAACAGTATATGTATAGCGACCCATGCATTCAACATTTCTTTTAACGTAATAAATGGTTAATATTTATAGAAATCTCAATTAACCAGTAGAAGTACAAGAAGTAGAAGATGCTGAATATAAAAAAATTATATGAATTTAGCATTGGCCTAAAAATACTGAATTTATGGAGCTAAAACGGTTCCATAAATGTTTTATTAATAACGCTTCAGTAATGATCAACCGCTAAAATTTAATTATGAATCACAAGTAACAATTTTGAGACTACGAAAAAATAGACGTAAATGTATAATTACCAGTGTAATAGAAACCAGCGCGGTTTCACTACTTAGTAACACTTGCCAACCAAACCAGAAATAATGACTACTCGCTATATAAACACTGCTAGTTCTGTCTGTCGCATTACCAATTCAAATGGCAAAGTAAGAGGCGAATATTAACTCTTCCCACTTTTTTCAGCGGCCAGACGGCTCAACTCATCATGCTCCGATTTAACCATCGTCAGTTTAGACGCCGAAGACTCGGAGAAGCACGGCGGGATCAACCTGGTGAACAAGCAGAGGGTCTTGCCGTTCATTCCCCCTTCGTTCCCGGGCAGTGCGGACTCGAACAACCTGATCAAACCGTCGGAGTACCTCAGGAGTATCAGTGATAAACGCGCTTCGATTTGTTCCACCAGGAGTTTGTCCGAAAGCGAGGACACATCCGACAAGCTGGAAGTTAAACAGGAACCAGTCATCCCGGGTCCACCCCCACCACCGCTTCCGGAATTACTCAATGGGGACTTCCTGAACAACAACGCGAAGCAGGAACAAGCCCTTGAAAACAAAAAGCAGAACCAGCCCTTGTCGGCAATCAGCATCCAGGATTTGAATTCGGTCCAGCTGAGGAGGACGGATAAGATGATGGCTTCGAAGACTTTCTCGGCTCCTACGAGGAGTATGAGTTTGCAGTGTCTCCAGAGTGAGCCGTACTTGGCGCAAAAAACGGATCTGATAGCGGAGCTGAAGATGTCGAGGGACATCACGGGGATAAAAAAATTGAAGATCGAAAGGGCCAAGACGGAGCAGCATAAGGAGAAAGAGATATTCTCGGAGATATCGAGACAGTTTACAACGACGAAGTTCGTAGAAAAGGTGAGCTATCTTTTATGTGCGCATTTATTATTTTTATTGCAAGCACTTTCGTTGTTTTTTTATCGATTTTATATGGTTAAACAATCTGGGACATTTGACCAACTTAGAATATATACCAAATATTGTTTATCATTGAAAAAGTTTGCATATATTTACATAATAATATGCATAAGTTCTAACAACGCTGTTTATTGCATTAGAATATTAGAAAGTAACAAGCAAATTTGCAACAAACGGCGTCGTACACTACATTTTATTTACTTAAACGATTTGGTATATTAAATATCATAAGGTCAAAGGCGATAAATACTTTAACATTTAGTCGAAATTAAACAGATTATATAAATACCAAATACTTTCCACAGTTGTTTTTAAACTACTGCAGGAAAGGTTTAATAAAATAAAAATCACTAGATTTATTGGCGTAACATTGGAGCTACTTAAAAATAGTACCTAGGACTTGTGTACCAACTGTAAAAATAATTAATAATTTCCTAATTTACTTCTTTTGCCAAACAAATCATATTTAATCCAAATTTCATTATTTTATTTGCAATACTGATACGTTTTTCAGTCAAATAACAAATAACGAGCTGTTGCCTTTTAGATAAGTTCGACATGCATTTTAGAGTAAATATACAATTTTAGAAATTTAACGTGGTTATAAAAAAAACTTTTGAAATCTGTGTTGTTTGCAATAATACACATTTCATTAGTACACTGTTCTAAAAGCATTACAGCAGAAACACTTAATTGCAATTTGTTACTCAATTTATCAATAATAATTGGACCATATATTTTTAAAATTTTTTTTTGAAGCTGTTACAAAATTAAATTTCTAAGCACATGAATAAATAGTTATAGGTTATGATCATTGTAACCAATCATATTTATATTGTTTATTATTTTGATGTATTACATAAAGGAACTACAAGTAAGGAAGAAAATATTGAACATCTTGTTAATTTTAAGTGAATGTCGATTTCATAAATTTTTCACATGTCTTTTTTTAATAACTGCCAATTTCTATTGATATAATTCAAGAAAAGAAGGAAGTTGTATCTGGCATATAGTATTCTGTTTAAATTGGTAGTTTCTGAAAATATTTGAAGCACTTTATTTTGCAAATTATTATGTAATACAAATTGGAATTCATCAAATTTTCGATTCCTTATTGACAAAAATTGAGTTAATATTGCTTCATATCATAATAATAAGAAAGATATATCCATACACATACTGTGCGTCTATAATTGCTGATCCATATCAGTTTCTTTCCTGTTGAAGTAAAACGTTAAGATGTAAGTAATTAAATATAAAGTTTCACATTACACAGTTTTTAAAAAATATATAACAGGTTTGTTTCTGCAGCAATCTGGTGTTCATGCAGGATTTTTAAACTGTCATCAAATCGTTTTCTAACGATCAGACCGGTTGGCCAATCCCAGACATGCATATTAATATCGGTAATCGCAGTCGTCTGATATTGGCCGCTCGATCATCTTTTAAGTTAATTTTGAATATACAGGGTGATTTAGAACTTATTCAAAAGAAAATGTTTGGGCAGTTCGAAAATGATTTAAAAATACACTTTTGCCTGGCACTGGAAACTGGTCCACTGTAAAACCTGTCCTTGCACAATTCAAAGCATGTAGTTGGCAACCGGCACGGCGGCAAAGTGTAATAAAAAATGAACGGACAGAAAATTTAAAGAATTTCTTTCCCAAGGAAAGAAATAGATAAAATTTTATAACACCTATTTTATTATCAGCAAATTCAACTGCTTTTGCTGTTATTGTTAGGTATTATTAATTAATAAAATTAATTTGTGGTTTTAATTAATAAAATAATTTGACATACCTGATGTTACAACTGTTTTTTCACTTACATGTAAACACATTTAGGCCTGTCTTACCCATCCGAACTAACACAAATGTTGTCTTGCTTCGCCATAAATTAAAACGATATCCATCAACTCCGAGTTGCTATACACAAAAGCCATTTTTGACACTAGAAAAACTAATGTAAACACTATCGCAAAAACGTTAACACTAAAATCGGATTTCAATATTCGGAATCGCCTGGGGCCACGTGGAGAGAGAGCGCATTGGGTACAGCGCACAACGCGAATGACGCTAGAGACTACAGTAGCCCAGCAATGTAAAGGTTATAAATACTACAACTTCAATAATTTTTTTCAACGGAATCTATAAGGATTTTACAATGTTTTTTATGATATTGACTGCATTTTTCATGACCCATCTATTCTCAATTTTTTTTGGATGGATAAGTTGTGAATCACCCTATATTTCCTTAGGATTTTAGCGGAGTAATGTGCAAAGTATCAATTACGTTATTTTATTTTTTTTTAAATTATTACTACTTAATCCGCAATTAAAATAATTCATTTTTATGACATTCAAGAGCAATCACTTACAATCGTCCACAACCGCACCTGCGTAATAAAAACAGTTTGCAAACATCCGAAATTTACTGCAGAAACAAACATAATAATAATTCCTTGTACCGATATATCAGGTATTTGACATTAATTGTCACACTTTTCATTAATTCGGCTATTGTAACAGATATTTAGATTTTCAACTAAATTAATATTATATCGAAGTACAATAAAATAATAAAATAATATACAAATAATTTTACCTGTCATATTGAGATACCTGTGATATTGTAAATCTTGAAATAAATTAACATATTTTTCGCCCGACCACTTTGGACAACCAATAACCTGAAACTCATTATTTTTTAAATTATATTTAAAATACAAAATTTCTAAATAAAATTAAATTTTAAATGACGATATCAAAGTCTTCTTTATCTACTATATGTACAATAGTACTGTACACTATTGTACATATACATATACATATACATACAGATACGTACATATACATATAGATAAAGATTTTGATATCGTCATTTAAAATTTGATTTGATTTAGAAATTTTGTATTTATTATNGTGGCTAAGGCCGGTTTTCGGCCGATTTTAGGTCAGGATTTAAATTTAAAAAAAAATTGTTATTTTATCATCTGTTATCAATTATATTATATATTATATATTATATATTATATATAAGGGTGTAACTAAATACTTTGTTAAACTTTAGTGGCGGATTTTATATCACAAATTAATAAAAGAAGTTCCTATAAGCATGTGTTGGAAAATGATTCGTTTTTGACATACTTACATGATGTTCTATAATTAATGAGCATACGTAAATTAAAAAAGTAGTAATACTTCTATTCAACGATAACGTAGTTATAATAATATAATTAATTTTAATTTCAAAAATAATTTAAAGTTTGAAGTATATCCGGGTATAGGAAATAGGAACTTTTTTTGTAGACTTGGAACTATTTGGTCTTTGAAATATCGGTTAATTCCATTTGTTATAAGGAAGCCTTTTGAAACAGAAATTATTAAAACTTAAAGATTAGTTATTAGCGTCTCGTGTCAATAAAAAAATAATTAATTTCTTTCAAGATTTGCAATACCTACTTTATTATTTGATGATTTCAATATGACAAGTTTTTTTCACTAGTTGTATCTACTATTTAAATAGAATATTTTTATTTTTTATATTTAAATAGTACATAAAAATTTGATATCAATGGGTATAAGTATAATGACTTCATTTAGAAAAATGTTTAGAACTAATTTGAATTAGTGTAATAGTTTAAAAGTAAAGTATAATAGTAATTTCAATTATTATAATATATCTATTAATCCATCTAGGTACTAGAGATAAATAAAATAAATTTGGGTAGGTACTAAGAATATACAACTATATTGAAGATATGGCCCTGTCTAAATACATATAGATTTCATTCCATTTTCCATTTCCAATTCCATTTTTAACCATCATATACACCGAAAATGGTATCTGTTAAAATGGAACACCAATTTTAATATGTATTTTTCACAAAAATATTCAACTTGATACCTATAAACTGTAATTTGCAGTTTCCTTCGTTTGTAATCTGTATCTATATTGTATACCATTACATTTTTTAAATTTTCGTATAAAAGAAAAACTTCTATCTAATTTCTTAGGTACCAGAAAAGGACAACACCGGCAATATCATTCCAGCATGGAAGCGCCAAATGTTAGCAAAAAAAGCGGCAGAAAAAGCAAGAAAAGAACTGGAGGAACAACTACAAAGGGAAGCCGAAGAGAAAAGACTGCAATCTATCCCTCAGTGGAAGCGGCAGTTACTGCAGAAAAAGGAAGAAGCTGAACACAGAATGAGGTATGTCTGAAGAACGTAATATTTACATAATATTTATTAAGTGTCAAAATTATAAATTTTTTTGTCTATAAAACATAAAAGACTTTTATATCCACATACAAAAATCTCTGAAATTATAGGTGATTCACCAATTTTTTATCAACAAAAAACATATATTCTAACAATCATTAAAAATCAATTTAAATAACAATAAATTGTCGGCTGCATTCTCTTAATTTTATATTCAAAGTATGCCAATATCACACTTTCAGACACATTTTTAATTTCTTACCATTCCAAAAACTCTTTGTAAGCAGATTTTATTGCCTGATAGATTTACTGGGAACAAGTCAAGAAATATCACTTTTCGCTGCTACAGACATTTCACATGGTAGATCTTGTTTTGTTGTTTTATTCAATTCCAATGACAAAGTTATTGAATAAACTGCCACCAACTCAAGATTTCAAAAAAAACTCGTGTTCTCTTAATAAAATAATTGATTGTTTACTAAAGCTTGTTACTGATACACCAAAGAATATTAAAATATACAGGGTGTCTCAGAATATATGGGTAACCTCTCGGATTTATAAAGGGGGCGTTAAAATAACATGACAAGTTCCTATAAAAAATATTCCTAGAAGGCCCCTACAGAGATACAGGAGATATAGGATGCCCCTAAAAATAGATTTTTTTGAATAACTTTTAAAATATTTTGTGTAATTTTACTATTTTTTAATTTGATGGACAACATCTCTTTAAAAATTGACCCATGAAAACAATTTGGTTTGCCAGAGACGGACTAGCTGTAGCACATTAATGCCAATTTTTTTACACCCTTTACGATAAAGACACAAAAATAATATTTTTAGATACTTGAACCTTAAACTAAAAAAAGGTACTCTTGGTTTGTTGGTTTGGTTATCGATAAAATGAACTGTTTTCGAAAAAAAACTATTTTTAATATGATTTTTATTACATCCGTAAAGAGAAATATACCGATGATTCATTCTGTGCCTATCTAAAAAATGCTACTATTATTTAGATTTGTTTTTCACTTGTTATTTTGGTGCTATGATTGTCTTTTCGACATTACTGATTCAGATAAGAGTACCTACCTATCTGAGTCTGTAAGTTAAGAGTCCGTCACGCGCTTGAAATAAACCCATTTTAAGGGTTCGGCCCATAACACATATTTGGAAAACGAATAAACATAGCGGCCGAAATAAAAAAACAATTGAAAGACAAAGTGTTTTCCTACTGCTGTCTTGTAACAGTTTTTTCAAAATTGGTTTCTAATTGTTTAAATTTAAAGAGTAAACTATGCAAGAAATCGTCATATTTACAATTTATTTACGTAAAAATAGAGGCTTAAATCAAAAATTGCTTACAAGAGGGAAGTGGGTCTATCTTTTAGCTTTGCAATGATACCAAAATTATATTGATTTGATAAAAATTACTCAAAATTCTATGCTAAATCCCGAACGTCTACAACTTCAGAAACGAATATATTTTAAATGCTGCAACCACGTGTGTTTTACTCAGTGGGATGGGCTTAGAGATTGGTAATTGCGGACAGGACCGGAGTTCAAAGAAATATCTAGTCAGTGATAATCTATACGTTTTCAATTGAGAGTATTGAATTAATCGATCTTGCGGGGTTCGATTCTTTTATTTTCATTGGAAGAAGTTTTTGCATCCAATTAGATATTATATCAGAGATTGATATAAAAACTATCTTGAGTTAAAAGTTGTACGGCACAGCCAGGCAACGTTATTTCTAGCGGAAAACTAAAAAATGTATTTTTTAATAAATGTTTTTACTGCACTATCAGCGGTAATAATTAAATTTTTAATAGTAATAGTATATTTAATTTGTACAGCACATTTCGGCGTTTCCATCCCAGCCCATGTTTATTAAAGGAAATGCCGACAATAATCCCGTTTTCGTTTTTTGCCGTTTTTCTTGAGAAAGTATACGTTTTTTGTTTCCAAATGCACCTGGTCATACTAGTGAAATAACTCAATTATGATCGAGTGCTCGTTGATGA